CTATAAAGGAATATGAAAAAGGGTCTTTGCAGATATGATTAAGTTAAGGATATATAGATGGGGAAATTATCCTGGATTATCCAATTGGGCTCTCTATGCAACTACAAGGGTCTTTATGAGAGAGGGACAGAGGGAGACTTGACACACACAAAGGAGAAGTGTGTGTGAAGATGAAACAGAAAGAAATCTGAAGATGCTGGCCTTGATTGGAAGGATGCAGCCTGCTGACACCTTGATTTTGGCGCAATGAAATTAATTTTGGACTTCTGGCCTCCAGAATGCAACAAAATGAATTTCTGTTGTTTTAATCCACCAAGATGGTAGAAATTTGTCATAGCAGCCAAAGCAAAACTAATACATAAGGTGTTTCCTCTATCTATCAGGTTTCAGAGATTTGTACATATGTATATGTTCTCCATTACTGCTTATCTTTCTGGATTTTCTCTATTCTTCCTGATTTTTTTTTCCTACTTGTTCTGTCTCAGATTGAGGGAGATATACTAAAGGTTCCTATTATTCCTGAGTTTCTACGTCTCCTGCCATCTCCTGTTGTATCTGCTTGGGTGAAAATTTTGTCACGTTTCTGGGTACATAACATTAATCACTATTTTATTTTTATCCCATATTGTAGCCTTTAGCATTATAAAGTGCCCTTTGTGCTGTTTTGGATGTTCTCCTATAAACAACATCATGTGAATTTTGCTTTGTTAGACAATTCTAAAATCTTTTTTGGGGCACCTGGGTGGCTCAGTCAGTTACATGTCTGCCTTTGGCTGAGGTCATGATCTGAGGGTCCTGGGATTGAGCCCCGTGCCAGGTTTTCCTGCTCAGTGGGAAATCTGTTTCTCCCTCTCCCTCTGCTACACACTCGTGTGTGCTCTCTCTCTAATAAATACAAAAAAATCTTTAAAAAAAATAAAATCCTTTTCTTTTATAGGTGAATTAAACCTACATATCTATTAATATAATCCATATACTTGGCCTCAGTTCTGTCATATGGGTACAGCTAGACATACAGTCACCCACTTACATGGTCTGCTTTATTTGCTTGCATTCTCTCTTTCTTTTGGTGCTTAGGAAACTTTATATTTTTGCTCTGAGCTTACCTTTAAAATAATACCTTTATATAATAACCGAATCCTCTCTTCTTTGGGATACTGCCTATCACTTACCTATTATGAACAATATTGGAATTTGCTAGAAATCTTTTCTTTCTCCTTCCCTCCTGCTCCTTCAGTACCTAATGTGAAATAATAGCTTTTTTCCTTCTAATCAACACCAATACTGCAATCAGCAAACTAGTCTCATTTCCATATATTCTTCATCTTATCTCCCTACTTTTGATAGTTATACAAATCGTTATAGTTTTTGATAGTTTTTGATAGTTATATTGTTCCTACAATGCAGAGCAGATAAGCATTGTATAATGACCACCTCCTTTATTTCGATCATTTAGTCATGGTACTAGAGATAAAGATACAATCAATACCCCTTGAATATGGAAGTCAAAACTCAATTTCCTGGATTAACTTACAGCCTTGGACACAAGCAAGTGACTAAGTCCCACCAATCAGGACTTTGATCCAGAAGTGAGGAATGTTAGGAAACCACTGTGCATAGTGGAAAAGCTAGTAGCCCAGGCATCCAGCTTGCACAGGCAATGATGAAAGAGAAGTTTCCCAATGATTTGAAGGTCATGTTCCTGAGCCGAAGTGACATATTGCTGGTAGCAGTAGTAGCTGCAGTAACATCTAATTTCTGGTGTTTGTACTTTGTAGACATGACATAAGTGGTAGAAGTTTCCTAACAGGCCAATTCCCCAACTTGGTTTTTGAACCCTAGGTTTGAGATTATTTCTCTAGCCTACAGCCTAACATTATTGTGAACTTCCTAAAATCCTTTCCTGTATTCCCCACCTTTGCTTAAATTAATCAGAGCAGATACTGTTGATTGCATCCAAATGTCCTGACTTGAATCATACCTGGAGAGTCACACATCTCCTACTATTGTTGTAGAGACTGAATGCTAGAAGCTATGCTAACACACTGAACACACACACAATAGTGCGCAGCAAGGATTAGTTTCCCTCTGGGTTCCTGAGGAGGCAAACAGTACACACGCAGCCATGGTAGATCATGTTGAAGTTTCTGAAATAGATCCGCATTTATTAAAGATATATTCAAGCACTGGACATGGAATGTCCAAGCCTCAAATGCTTCTTGAAATCTTTTTAGTCTATTAAACCCAGGAGCAAAGGTAACAAGCTTTACATGCATGACGGGCTATATAAGTCATGGGGCCCACTGCAAAATGAAAATGCAGTGTCCTTTAAAAAAAAAAAAAAACTATAAAGGGGGCCACCTGGGTGGCTCAGTTGGTTACGCATCTGACTCTTGATTTTGGCTCCGGTAATGATCTTGCAGTCGTGAGATCGAGTCCTGCATGGGGCTCTGAGCTGGGCATGGAGCCTGCTTGGGATTCCCTCTCTCCCTCTCCTTCTGCCCCCACCCCTGCTTACACAGGCATGCGCGTATACATGCATGCATATTCTCTCTCTCTCTCAAAAAAACAAATATATTATATATACATATAATGAATTTCAAGATGGCAACAGCAGAGCATTAAACCAAGCACAGGACCCTTCCCAGCATGCATGCCCATGAAAGCTGCAGGCCCTGTCTATATGAAGCACTTCTGATTTCTTTCTCATCTGTTGGTGTTAAGAATAGAGAATATGACAGGGACATCTAGATCCATGTCTCTATTGCCACCCTTAAATTCTGCTTAAAACAAGCAAACTGTGATATTTATATATCACAATTGGCCACAACAAAAGGCTTTCCAGCCAACCATATATAAAATTACTTTAGTGGTGCAGTTACATTTCAAAATTAAAATTACAAAATTACATTAGTTGTACAAAAACACATGTTCACTTTAAGGCAAAAGTATACAAAAATGCATGCTCACTTTAAGGCAAAAAGTGAAATACGTGTGCTCACCTTAAACACTGAAAGACATAATGTCATCACCAAAAGGAACCAGATAGAATCCAAGCCCACTGGGGTTATATTTGGGGAAATTGAGTCTTAATGAGGCTAATTGCCTGCCTCGAGCGACACAACCAGTTAGTGCTGAATAAAGAATAGAACCTCTGGCTCCTGGAATCCAGTTTAAATTTGCCTCTTTCATGTGGCACCACCTCCTTTCCCTTTCATTTCAGAAGCACTGCAGTGGTTAACCAATTCCTCCCACCCCCATTCATGAACATCCACAACAAAAGTAAGAATACCAGAAAATAAAAAGAAATTCAGTATTAAAAAACTTCAGGACTTGAAGGGAAGAAGTTTCTATCTACATTAAAACAAATTTTCTTTTTAATTACAAAATCTATCTGCAATAATTCAAACTGGATAAATTAAAAGGTGATATTTTACCTATTTATCCAATCTTACTCCCCCAAATTATCACTTCTATCACTTGGGGGAATATCCATTCAGTTATTTTTTTATCTTGGAACTCAAATCACAGTTCAGGTCATTTAGGTCAAGCCTTATTTTAAATATACCATCCACTGGAATTACATAACTGTGGAATCTTTAAAAATGTTTTATTATAAGCAGAAATTGAACCTAAACACTGAAAATAGGTGAATTTTCTCAGAGGACTGGCCATTTTATTTTTTTTTAAGATTTTTATTTATTTATTTGAGAGAGTGAGAATGAGAGAGAGAGAGAGCACATGAGAGGGGGGAGGGTTGGAGGGAGAAGCAGACTCCCCGCCGAGTGGGGAGCCCGACGTGGGACTCGATCCCGGGACTCCAGGATCATGACCTGAGCTGAAGGCAGTCACTTAACCGACTGAGCCACCCAGGCACCCTGGCCATTTTAGAAGTAGTGAAATAGTCATTCAATTCTCTGTATATGGAAAATAGAAAATCAATGTGCAACAATCCACTTACACTGGAATTTCCTTTGTATTTTGTTTATGTTAATTTGGCCAAATTTCCTTTTCCTTACATTTAATTCTGCTGCCAGTGTTAACTCATTAAGTATTTGGGTGAAAGGATGGTATCACACAGGGACAGCATTTCCCTATGAAATGTCCGTATTTCTGAATTAGTGATGAGCTACCTTGTAGTACTTCTTTTCCATTTCTCTCAGAATAATACACATTTTGTTCATTCACTTTTCAATGTGGAAAAATTTTTTTTCCAGAAATCTTTTGGAAGTAGTCCAGGCTTCAACATACACTACCCATTTTCTACTTTAAAGACCTAAGCATATAACAGCTCAGGGGGAAAATGTTACATGCATTGCTTATTTACATGAAAAAAGCTACATAAATTACATCACTACTTTATCTTTGTGGTGTTGCAAATAAAGATCATTAAGACTATTAATGGCTGATTTTCTTGGGGTACAGGAATTGCTTGATGGTATCTACCATACCCAGTGCTCTACAAATAATCTTTAAATTTTAATGTTACCGTTACTATTGAGCTGTAGATTGAAGAAAAATTTGTTTTTCCAATACAATTAAAATCCCCATGAATAACACCGTTAGAAATTCCTAATAGATTGTGAAGTCTTTGCTATTCAATTTGATTGTTCAAATTCACAGATTCCCAAGCCAAGCTAAGGTAAATCTCGATTCCCATTTTAAAAAGTCTCTTAGCATGCCAAATCAGCTAACCAGTTAACTCTGGCAGCCAGGACAACAGCCTGCTGTCTAGAAGTTGGCAGACTCCTTCTACTGTAACACCAAAGCCCGTTATGCCAATAAGCCCTCAGGAGCTCCAAGAACTCACAGAGCTGTTTGCCACCACCTCTCCACCTGTCTTACACCCACCTTTCCGCCCCGCCCCTTACCTTGGCCTCGCCTCCTGCGCTCAGGCGCGTTTTCCACGCCCCCTGCGTTCAGCCAATAGCTGGTGACGTTTGTGGGAGAGGGCCTTCCCTCCCAGCCAATGCAGGAGATCCTTGCTGTCCTGGTCCCACCCCTGCCAGGAGCTCCTGCCGGAAGATGGCGGCGGCCGCAGAGTTGACGCTGCTGGAGAAATCCCTGGGGCTGAGTAAAGGGAACAAATACAGCGCTCAGGGCGAGCGCCAGGTGAGAAGCGGGGCTGCGTGAAGGGGAAGAGGTGGGCAGGAGCGGGCCCTGCTGAGCTCAGGTAAGATGGGCTAGCCGGCAGAGGCGGAGGATGCGGCTATTCTCCTCCCCCACGTGTCTGCGCCGCAGGACCGACTGACTGGCGTCTCTCGGTCTCCTGCAGCCTGGAGGATGGAGGCCAATCTGCCCCGTTCCGGCTTGCCCTGACCTTTTTCTCCTGGGAAATTGTCATCCTGTTCTGGGAAAGCGAGGAGAGCTCTCAAAGAGCCCTTAGACCCATCTGGGGGCCCCGTATTTGCGTTCATTGACAGCACTTCCTGTAACACTACCTTTCATTCAGTGCCACGCATCTACTCCCGAGAACTAACGGGGTGCCAAGTAGCACTGCGCTGGGACTGGGGAATGCAGCAGTGGTTGAGAAGGACACAGTCCTTCCTCCTCAGGAAGCTTGGTTTTAACAAGGTGGACAAATATTGTTGCTATTTTAATTACAATAAATGAAAAGTGCTATATTGAAGCCGAGATGGCAGAGAGAGCACATAAGTGGTCTCGGTCCAATCCGGGAGATTCGAGGAAGGTTTCCTGAGTTGTTCAAGTTCAATGTGTGACGTGAAGAGAATGAAGGGGAAGGATAATACAGTATGAAATTGGTAAGGTATAAGGACTCAGATTTCTCAGGGCGGTGAAGAATATTTGTGTTTCGTAAATATCGTTGTTTGACGTCGATGGAATGCATTAGGAAAGGAGAATAATTTTAGGGAGACTTCTTTGGATAGGTAATATTTTTTTTTGCCCCCTTGAGAGTTTTTCCATGTGACGTTTATTTTTTGTTCTTACTTTTTCTGTTCTTTGTTTGGTTTATGTTAAAAGCGGTCCTAGTGTAGTTCTTACACATAAGTTCAGCTGAAGCCTAGAAAGGTCTTGGGGCTTAAGATGAGCCCACTGATTGGAGACAAAGCCGCCTGCTTTTGCTTTTTCCTCTGGCCATGTGCTAATTCCTTCCCTTCACCCACCGCTCCCTTGTTTGGTTTCTGTTTTTTTAGAGAACATTGCCAAGACATGAATCTTGCCTTCAGGAAACTTACCTAGTATGAGAAACAGTCATTGGCAATTAATTTAAGGCAAGACAGAATATATACTAAGTGGAGGAGACGTTGTTGAGGAACGTGGACAGGAAAGTTAATTTTGACTGTGAGAATGGATTTGTAAACTTCACAGAAAAGCTGGTGTTTAAAGTGTGTAAGGCCAAAATTATGAAAGATTGGGAAGTTTGGGGCAAGAAGTAGACCAATATGAAAAGTGCTACAATGCAAAGGAAGCCCAAAATTATAGTTTGAGGGCAGTTGTGAGGGCTCTGGAGTTCATTGTGTGGTTTCTTACTTTAATTAAAACTTTTTTTTTTTTTTTTTTGGTCTTATTAGAGGGCAGCTATTGAAAGTTTTTATATGTTTGGGGAAAGGGATGGGAACAAATGAAAAGATTCGGTCTTTTTTTTTTGGTGGGGCAGGGAGACAACTGATAGCAGTAAGCCAGCAATGATGTGAAAATGTTGGGGTTCGGGTGCTCCCGAATGGTCAAGAAAGAATTATTGAAGTGTCTTTGGTGCAAAAAGGGTGGTTTTATTAAAGCACAGGGACAGGCCCCATGGGCAGAAGGAGCTGCACTGGGGTTGTGAGGAGTGACTGATGATATGCTTTCAAGTTGGGAGGGGGTTAAGGAGAGCATAAGTCTCTAAGGAATTTGGAAGCAAGGTTTCCAGGACCTTGAGGGGCTAGCTATTGTTAGGAAAAGGTCATTTATTACTGTCTAGTAAAACCTCAGTCATGAGACCCTTCAGACGTATATCAGTGGGCCATATGCTTGGAGGATGAGTGCTAACATATATCTTGGGGGTAGAGATAAAGGAGGTTTCGAAAGGGATTTTTATACATTAAAGGAGACTTAGAGGATCCTGGAGGTCAGGCTCATGTTAAGCTAAGGTTACCTTTTGCCTTTAGCAAAGTATTAACATCGATGGAGGCAGTTAAGTTCCTAGAGGAATGTCACTCTACCTGTCTCGAGTACTTGTCATTGGGCTGTAAATTGTAAGAAAATTTAATTTTTTTCTTTTGCCTTTGTTCTCCACATCAAGCAATAAGGCCTTCTCTGCAACATTACCACTTAGACAGTAGTCACCCGTCTGTGTACCTCCTCCCTATCCATAGTTTCAATGTCTGCCGTTTCAGTTACCCATGGTTAGCCATATCCAGAAACAGATGATCCTCTTTCTGGCATAGTGTCGGAAGGTGAGCTGTAGCCTAGCACTATGTCACAACGCCTACATCATTCACCTCATTTCATCTGATTATATAGGCATTTTGAAATCTTGCATCATCACAAGAAGAAGGGTGAGTACAGTAGAATAGGACATTTGGAGAGAGACCGACCACAATCACATAACTTTCATTACAGTATATTGATATAATTGTTCTACTTTATTATTAGTTCTTGCTGTTAATCTTGTACTACTGTGCCTAATTTATAACTTCAACTTTATCATAGGTATTTATGTGTAGGAAAAACATAGTATATGTAGGGTTTGGTACTATCTATCCGTGGTTTCAGACATCCACTGGAGGTATTGGAACATATTCCCCACCGATAAGGGGAGACTGTGTAATTCAAAACAATCCAGGGTCGCCTGGCTGGTTCAGTTGGTAGGGGATGCGACTCTTAATCTCTCGGGGTCGTAAGCTCGAGCCCTATGTTGGGTATAGAGATTATTTAAGGAAATAAAAGAAAAAAATTGAAAACAATCCAGAGATCCAGCTTTCGGAGAATGGTTTGTTAAATTATGGTACATCAGCATATTATAATATTACTTATTAGCCATCGACGGTGATTACTTAGAAGACCATGTCATCCTAAAATGAATGTGGAAAAAGTATGTATCCCACAATTGCAACTACATAAGATTTGTGTACTTTAGGTTGTATGAAGGAAAGAGAAGGGACTTTCGAGTCAATCTTACTTTATCCAAACCCTGATTCTGCCATGACAAAGCGGGTGACCTTGGTTCTTTGTAAGATGATGAAATTACTTACCAACTTACAAGATGTAATGAGAAGGTAACTGGGAAGTTTTTGAGTTAGCAATGTAGGATTGTGGATAATTTATTTTTACAAATAATTCTCTTTAGAATTAAATGTCATTTCCCCCCACACACTCATTGATGTCAAGTTCTTTTTCTGTTTTTATTTTGTTTTTTAAGTATAACATACCTTCAGAAAAGTGAATAAATCTCAGCGAGTTACCACAAAGTGAACACAGGTAGGTAACCACACAAGGAACCAACCAGCAAGGTATAAAACAGTAGAACCAGCACCCCTAGAGGGTTCCTTATTGTTTTCTTCCAGTGTGTTTTTTTTTATTATTATGTTATGTTAATCACCATACATTACATCATTAGGTTTTGATGTAGTGTTCCATGATTCATTGTTTGTATATAACACCCAGTGGTCAGTCTCCTCATCAGATGATACCTTCCGTTTTCTTTTAAATTTCTCATAGTGCTTTGCTTGGTTGTGCATCAAGAACATTTAAATTAACTGTCAATTTCCTAAAATCTGAACCTTGGTATTGCTGTTTTGTTTTGTTTTTTTTAAGATTTTATTTATTTATTTGACAGAGAGAGAGAGCACAAGCAGGTGGAGCAGCAGAGGGAAAGGGAGAAGCAGGCTCCCTGGCTGAGCAGGGAGCCTGATGTGGGGCTCCATCCCAGGACCCTGAGATCATGACCTGAGCTGAAGACAGACACTTAACTGACTGAGCCACCCAGGCGCCCCAGTATTGCTGTTCTAATAAGGGAAACAAAAATAGGATTATTTTTCAGATGATTACCTGAAGCCCAGACTATTATCAGTGGCCGCAATTATATTTTGGAATGTTTTTTAAACATGAAATACTGGCCAGCAGTGACTTCACTCTAAAAAATTGGTGGATATGCAATTCATGGCAACCAAGTCACTGTCACAGTCCATACCTAGTTAACGAGATATAATTATATTAGATCACATATCACTAAAACCAACCCATATCTCATTTGGTGGTTCTAACTACATCAGCATTAAGTCAGTGTTAACTGTAATCATATCCTTTTGTTATTACAGAAGTCAGGTTTATTTAAGTATGTTCATCTTGCTAAAATAGGGTATTGGTAAACTTGATCAAAACTAATGCAGTATTATTAGGATTTCCATTTTTCTTCTTGTATATGCACAGTTATGAATTATGTAGAAACATTGACTTTTGCAGTGTTACTGCTGTTTCACTTCAAGCATGTGTTCTCAAATTGTAAATAACATCTTAACTACTATTTTCCTGATATTCATTTGAATGTAATTTAGTATCTTGGAGTAGAATCCTAGGGCATTTGAGAAAGCAGTGAGGGATTTAGTGATTCCTTAGAACTTAAGGTTATGTTGGTATTTGTTTTTTAAATTTTTCAGAACTTTTTTTTCTTTTTAAGATTCCAGTTCTTCAGACAAACAATGGTCCAAGTCTCACAGGACTGACTACTATAGCAGCTCATCTTGTCAAGCAGGCCAACAAAGAATATTTGCTTGGGAGCACTGCAGAAGAAAAAGCAATCGTTCAGCAGTGGTTGGAATACAGGGTAACTCGAGTAGATGGACACTCCAATAAAGACGATATCCACACTCTGTTGAAGGTATTGTGACTTCTCTTTAGAGGCTAAAATGCATGAACTGTTAGTAGCAGGAAGCTCTCTCCCCTGAGATTCACTAGCCAAAGCCATTGGCCTTCTTGTTTCCTTCTGCCTCGGGGTAATTTGTACCTTTTATTACCTGTGCTGGAAACAGACTCTGCCTGCGCTCCCCCTTCAGATCTCAGCTCAGATGCCCCTTCCCCAGAAATGTTCTTGACCACCTTTCTCTTAACACATGTGGGTACTTGTTCTATATGCTTTTTCTTCCTAACACTCATCAGTCAACAATTATTTGTATGATTTTTTTTTTTTTTTTAATGGGATGTCTTAATACTTAGTTTCTGCACTCAGCAGTAAAGTACTTTCTCAAAGGCAGGAAGGGAATCAGAATCTTTGGGAGCTACTGAAGAAAACTGTTAGATCTGAAAAAACTCACATTTTTTTCCTTGAGACTTACTGCTTTAAGATCTATATTTTCTTTCCAAAGAAGCAAAATCAGACTAAAAGAATTTATCAGTATAAGGTATAAGCTGAACATGGCTCCAGAGTCACCAGCAGTGAAAAATATTCCAAATGATACTTTTTGTTAATTATTTACATAAAAATAAAGCAGATCAAAAAATTTTTTATAGAAGCTTAGAATTTAAAGGAACCATAGAGATCATCTAGGCAACCACGTGTCACTGCAGGAATCCCTTCTGTTTTCTAATTTTATTCCCAGTGTCATATAAATTGGTAGTATGAGTTGTGCAAGAAGCTCTCATAGAACTGAAAGCTTTTCAGTGATCACTGGGGAAATGGTTTAAACTATATTTTTGATAGATACCATAAAGAGAACTGATAAAAAATAAATTTCAGGCTTTGTTCCTTTATAGGTCTATCCTGATCAGCTATTTATGCTTAATATCCATACTGACCCCTCCCACTGGCCTCTGCCGTGCTCATCAGCCTTTCCAGAGGGAAGCAAGCATGCCTTTCCTCTACGTGAATGTGGGATTTCAGGCAAATAAAATATAAATATAACTATCTCTTACAATTTTCCAGAAGAAAGGATAGTAATAAAGTACTTCATTCTGAAAGATATGAACAGGATTTCACTGAATTGGGTTTATAAGTTCATAGTTGTATTCAGAGATTGGGTTTTAAGAACATAGAAGTAATTCCACTAAAATGTTCTATCTGGGATATGTAAACATTATTTGAAATTGCAATCAGGAGAATCTGATTACCATTTTTGAAGTGTACAAGGGAACAGGTGATTTGGTTGTCACCCTTGCTCTGCCAGTTTCCTTAACCCGTACCTGTACGTGCACTGATGTGCCTGACGCAGTTCTAAGGGCCAGTGGTACAGTGACCGAGTAGACACAGTCCCTGCCTGTACAGAGCTCAGACCAGTGGGGGAGACAAGTGTATGTATAATGGACGGCAGTGTGATTTTTGGCCATAGAAGCATAGATGAGAAAGTGTTGTTTTCTGTTTTGCTTTGCTTTTTGCTGTTTTTATCTTAAAGGCAGTAAATATTTATTATAGAAATTTAGGAAATATAAGTAAGGAAAAAAATTTCAAGCATTAGTAGTCCCACCAAGAGAGAAGTGCTAATAACACTTATGTTTGGTCGTCAAGTATTTATTGAACTCCCTTCGTGTTCTTTCCATGCTTTTCCTTTCCGTATAGACATGTGTGTGTTTTGTTTTAAAAGTGGGCAGCTATTGGCCACTGTAACTTGCATTTTTGTTCACTGACAGTGTGTTGTGAATATCTTTCATGTCCACAGAATATTCATTTATACTATTTTTTTGATAACCTGTTAGTATTGCCTCATATAGGTGTATCAGGATTTAAATCATTTTAAAAATGTCCTTGTATGCGTTCTTTTTAATACTGGGCTATTTATCTTTGTATCATGTATTTTTACTTCTTACTCTCTAAAGTTCCATTTTGGTCTAAAACCATTATTCTAACTTTAAATGGCTCATAATTAAGGTAATACATAATTTCAAAATGGCAGGCATTACAAAACACATTTGTTGAATCTAGATGGAGAATATATAGCTGTTTATTATACTGCTTTCTCAGTGTTATTAGAAAGTTTAATACTAATAGGGAAAAAAGCCTCAGAACTCTATAGGGGGAAATATTTGATAAACTTTGGCCATGTGAAAGACTTGTTTAAAACAAAGGAAATGGACACTGAATGTTAGTTCTGTGAATATTCTGAATATGTGAAATTCTGTGATATGGCAGGGAAATTTTGAATTATATCACTAATCAGAAAAATATTAATTATGAAGACATTTTAAAGACGACAACCTTGAGAGTCTCTATAACAAAAACTTACACATGGATTCTATTTTAAGAATATATACACTGTACAAACCAGTGTTAAATTATTGTTTCAGGCCTTTTTAAAAAATGCTTCTTAAAATTAAATTGAATATATATTTTATTCTTAAACTTTATCCAAGGTGTTTCATTTGAAGACACTGGAGAGAAACCATCTGCATTCACAGATCACTGTAGAATTTAAGTGGTAGCTCCTTATATACCAGTCTATTTCACCCTCTGTACCCAAATTTTATTTTGATTTTTCTGCATTTGTCTCATTTTTGTCCATATTCCTTTATGCCCTCATCTGTAGCACCCCTAGCAATTCCATGCTCATATAGCATTTTGAAAATTACTGTCTTTAGATGAAGACATGGGCAGACTCAAAGAGATTAAATTCAGTTCAGCAAATATTTACTACCTACGGAAATACCACATGCCAGGCGTTTGGGATGTGATTTGAGAAAACAAAATGTTCTCTACGGTTTAAGGAATTTTTCTGGAATAAATGCTGTTGACCAGTGAGCAGTGTTCCAAAACAAGTCCTTAGAGAAGCCTGTGAGAATATCTGATAATAATCCATGTAACTGATTTACAAACCTTTGTCTAAAGGTTATATGAATCTTTTGTCTCATTTGATTCGAGTGTAATGTAATGAATGCAGCATGAATTCCTGTGCTATGAAATTATATGTTAATTTTGAGAGGAACCCAGAGTATTCATATGATCTTTCTTTTATCTACATTTTTTTCTTTTCTCAGGGAGGTAATTGATTCATTCATGCTGTTCTGTCAGATTCTATGTCTAATTTAGATTAGGATCTCTTGAGATTTTTATTTCATTTTTTGACATATACTTTAATTCTTTTTTTCCTTCAAAAGTGCTTATTCACCATTTAGGGAGCTCAGTGCTTACTAATATTTTGTTGTTGTTAAAGATTTTAAATGAATTCTTTTGTGTATATATTTAATTTAACATTGCCTTTTGAAAATTGATGGTTGTGGTCTGGAGAACAAATGGCAAAGAACTTTCTGTAGGTTTAAATGGTGTTTGAAACTGGAGTCTTTTAGGGGTGGCTCAGTCGGTTAAGTGTCAGACTCTTGGTTTGGCTCAGGTCATGATATCATGAGTTGTTGAGATGGAGCCCTGCATGGGGCTACAAACTCAGCATGGTATCTCCTTGAAGATTCTCTCCCTCGGCCCCTCTCCCCACACCCATGCGTGCATTCTCTCTCTCTCTCTCTCAAATAAATTAATAAATCTTAAAAAAAAAAACTAGAGTCTCTGCAGGTATTGGGAAAACTAGATCTCCAATTGTAAAAGAATGAAATTGAAGTTGGAATGTTACCTTACACAATATATAGAAAATTAACTCAGAATGGATTGAAGTCCTGAATGTAAAACCTAAAACTATAAAACTCTTAGAAGAAAACCCAGGGAAAAAAATATGTTATTTGATTTTGCAGGAATTTCTTGGATATGACACCAAAAACACAGGCAGCAAAAGTAAAAATGGGTAAATTGGACTACATCAAAATTTTAAACTTCTTTGCATCGCTGGACACAGTCAACAGAGTGAAAAGGCAGCCTGTGGAATGGGAGAAAAATACTTGCAAATCACGTAACTGATGAAGAGTTAATATCCAAAATATATAAAGAACTCCTATAACTCAGCAACAAAAAAACTGAGAAGCCAGTTAAAAATGTAAAATGGTACAGTTGCTATGAAAAACAATACGCTGATTCCTCAAAAGATCAAAATAGAATTGCCATATATCCAGTAATTCCACTTATGGATGTATACCCAAAATAATTCAAAGTGGGGTTTAAAGAGTTATGAGTACACCCACATCCATGGCAATATTACTGGTAATAGTTGAGAGGGGCCCCTCGGCAGATGACTACATAAACAGAATGTGGCATATATAAACAGTGGAATATTATTTAGCCTCAAAAGGGAAGAAAATTCTGACTCATGTTAACAACATGGCTGAACCCTGAGGTTGTTATGCTACATATAAGCTAGTCACAAAAAGACAAATGCCCTATGCTTCCATTTACATGTTGCATCTAGAGTTGTCAGTTCATAGAAATGGAAAGAATGGTGGTTGCCAGGGTCTGGGTTGAGGGGGAAATGGGGTGTTGTTTAACAGGATAGAGTTTCAGTCTTGAAGTGTGAAAAAGTTCTGAAGACTGATTACACAACAGTGTGAATACCCCTGATATTTACTGAATTATACACTTCAAAGTGGTTAAGATGGAAACGTGATTGTATTACAATTAAAAATTTTAAATATACGTATATAAAAATATAGCAAACCAATAAATTATAATCCTAAGAGAAATTATTGAAGAGCTTTTTATATTTTAATGGAAAAATTAAATCTAACATGAACATAATTTATAAAATGATCTCCATCCCCCCCAAAATTGGTGTCTTTCAAATGGTCATAGATGACATTCTGAATAGCATCTTTTAATGTTTTCTTATTTCTTTAAAATAAAATAAGACTAATAACATTTACCCTGTTTTTAAAATGAGATGACTGGTATATGATCTGTTCTTTGAATGAATCTGAATCTATTAATGTCAGATTAAATTTCTCAAATTAAAAGTCATTGTTTTATTTTCTAATAATCTTCTAAATGTTTGAAGTCCAATGATATGGTAGTTAACTTTATTATAACTGTTTTTTTTTTCAAAGATGTTATTTATTTGATAGAGTGCGCACACCTGTGTGTGAGTTGGCGGAGGGACAGAGGAAGAGGGAGAATCTCAAGGAGACTCCGAGCTGAGTGTGAAGCCGATGTGGGGCCCAATCTCACAACACTGAGATCATGACCTGAGCTGAAATCAAGAGTTAGATGCTTAACTGGCTGAGCCACCCCAGAACCCCAATTATTACTGTTTTTTAAATGAAATTTTTATTTTTTTATTTTTATTTTTTAGGATCTTAATTCATATCTTGAAGATAAAGTCTACCTTACAGGATATAACTTTACCTTAGCAGATATCCTATTGTACTATGGACTTCATCGCTTTATAGTGAGTATTTGAATAGTTGTTAGCTTTTTTCACTGTAATGTTCAGAATGATTTTTTTTATTTGTCTTGAATTTAAATCAAATTTGCATTTTCACCTTCTCAGATGAAAATGAATTATTTTTATACAAGGTACCTTATGCACGTATTCCTTCCACATTTCCATCAAATATAGTAGCTTCCTGTTCCTTGACCTATTTGCTTCCTGTTGTTGCTTCTAATCTTGTTCACACCTACTTCTCTTGCCACCCTTTGAGCTTGATCGTCATCATCACCTGACCCCTGTCATCAGCCTCCCACTCTCCTTCTAACATCTTAATTGTAGTACCCCATATTCTGTGAAACCTCAAATCCTTAGCTCGTAATCTCTAACTCACTAATCCCATCATTGTCTGAAGCAATTGGATTCCTTCCCACTTCCAAACCTATTTACTTTTTCCCTATCCAACCTAGATCCCCTTTTGTGTAACTTCCGATACTCTTCTTAGTATCTGCAGCTTCTTTGCTCCACTGTACATTCACCACTCTTTGTCTGTAAATCCCCACGTCTTGGTCAGTTCTCATAAATGCCTTCAATCCCATATCCAAGCTGAGCTCTGATGGAGAAATCCCAAAGCTACAGATTGGTACCACTATAGGTTTATACTATCCATTTTCAGCCAGGCTCTCCTACGGATCAGCTCTTTCATTCCTCCCAGGCATACTTCCAGACCTTTAGCACCTTCCTTAACCCCATCCTTTCCCTCCCCCTTTATCTTAGTCATTATCACAGAGTCATCCTCCCTCTCTCAGCTAGAAATTGGAGACTGTTCATTTGAATGCCTTCATCCTCCAGCCCACTGCATGCTTATCCTTAACCGTCTTGTCTCCTTTCACTGCCCTCTTACTTGAACGCACCCTCCTGCCCTGTTTCTGGATCTTGTCCCAAATTTTATATCCTTTCTTTCCCATATGTGCAATTTTCCCCTTTATCTGGTCAGTTTCTTTATTTTTTTTTAATTTATTTATAGAGAATTTGTTTATGAGAGAGAAGTGTGAGTTGGGGGAGGGGCAGAGGTGGAGGGAGAGAGAGCACCCTCAAGCAGACTCCCCGCTGAGTGTGGAGCCCAACTCGGGGCTCGATCCCAGGACCCTGACATCAAGACCTGAGGTGAAATCAAGAGTCAGACGCCCAATCGACTGAGCCACCCAGGTGCCCCCTGATCAGTCACTTTAAATTGTATCCCATCTTAAATTTATTTACAGTTATATCGCACTCACTGTGTTCTCCATGCTTCATAAATGTTAACTCGTTTAATCCTTAAAACAGTCCTATAAGGTAGGTATTATTACTATCATCCACATTTTACAGATAAAGTAAGAGAGGTCAGATATCTTCTTTGAGATCACCTAGCTTCTCCCCTGTGGAAAAAAATAACCCTTAGATTTTTCTGTATTCCGCACCTCATGCATCCAATTCATCAGGTTCTTTGTTTCCACCTCTTGGATGCCTCTCACATGTGTCTTCCTGTAATCCTGGGTGACATTGCCCTAGTTCCAGAATTCATTATCTTCTATCAAGGCTATGGAAATGGCCTCCTGCCACCAGTTTCATCTCATACCACCCATCTTCATGGCCCCTGGAGCGATTTTTCTCACGAATGTGTCTTTCTTTCTCAAAATAAGTAGCTCCTCACTGCCTGGGATGGCAGCCCCTTCTTGTTGACCCTGCCTCCCCTGCTGGCTTCATCACCTTTGTTCGCCCCACACACCCCTCTCTCAGCCATAGCATACTCTCTGGTCTCTCATCCTGTGCTCCCTCTGCTCAGGGTCCTCGTACTGCTCTGCTCTTTGGCTCCCTGGGCCCAGCCTTTTCTTCCCCCCCACGCTGGTTCACACTTCAGCAAGTGTCACTCAGCTGCAGCACTGACCTCCTGGTGAAGCCCTCTCAGTCTCCCGAAGCACACCGAAGAGCCCTTTCCTCTGGGCTCTCTGTGCCTCACAGCCTCCCTCAGCTTCGGCTTGTTTCACTTTCTACTGTAATTCTTCTTGGAAAATTTCTCTCTTTTAAATCGTAAACTGCTTGAGCCAGAGACTGCAGCAACTCATATTTGCAACACTCCCGTCTGACGTAATTCCTCCCACATGCATATAGTCTGCACTCCCCTCTATGAACATTGAATAACATAACGGATTCCTTTAGATTTTTCAGTTTTATGTATATTTTCTCTTTGTACCTCATAACTCGGAAGGAGATGGGGCTAGTGGTATTATCCTCCTCTTATAGAGAAGGAAGCTAGGGCTTGGAACATCAAGTGCTTTGTGCGAAGACACAGCCTGGGTTTTGGAGGGGCCAAGACGAACTTCGTCTTCTGCTGCAAGTGTCGCAGTGTATGGGGACGCCCTTCATACACCGTCAAATAATGTATGACAAAAAAATAAATAAATAACTGGGCGCCTGGGTGGCTCAGTCGGTTAAGCGACTGCCTTCGGCTCAGGTCATGATCCTGGAGTCCCAGGATCAAGTCCCGCATCGGGCTCCCTGCTCGGCAGGGAGTCTGCTTCTCCCTCTGACCCTCCCCCTCTCTTTCTCTCTCTCATTCTCTCTCTCAAATAAATAAATAAAATCTTTAAAAAAAAATTTAAAAAAAAAAACCTAATGTATGACAGTTTTTCTTCATCCCCCCTCAAACTCTAATTCCTCAGTGGATTTACTCAACTCATTAAGCATTGTTTCTCTAAAATCCCTAAAGGATTGTGCTGAGTTCTATAACATCATCACTGTAACCACCTAGTATGATCCTTCACTCAGCCTACTAGTTTCTGTTACAACTATACATACTGAGTTCATTATATGTCTATAATACTATCCTTGAGAGACATAAAAGAAATATAAAACCCTATTTTCAAGCAACTGTTGATCTCTTCAAAGAGATAAGACCTGTTTCACGTGAAAAGAATTGAATAAGGCAAAGTGCTAATTTCTGGTCAGAGTATTATGTAAAAGTTAAAGAGGCAAGTAGAACAAAGTAAAATGTAGAATCATGAAATTGTCAGAAAAATATCTGCAGGATTCAGATGCCTTTGGCTATTTAAGGGAATTTGTGTTGTTTTAGAAAGCTTAATGATAAGTTTGAATGTAAATCTTGCATGTGAGTAGGATGACCATCTGATTTCTCATCCAAAACACTTTTGACAGTGAAAGGAGGGCTATTAATAATTATTGGCACAATAGGAATAAATTAGGACAAATGTTCCTTGTATTTTGAAGCAGAATAATTTTAAGCAGAATAAGGGGACTGAGGAGGATCATGTCCTTCCTCTCTGTACCCCTTCCAGCTCTTAGCGCAATGCATCATACAACTAGATGCTTACTGAGATCAGCAATACTTAGCAATCTCTTCCTCTTTGTATTTCCTATTTTAGGTTGTATATCTTTATAGTGTAATCTTCAGTTTTATACTTTAATATGATTAACTCTAAAACCTTATTTGAATGTGAAGACAGTTTAAGTAGAGCTGAAATAATTTGATCTATTCCATTCTAGATTCAAAATATTTTAGTAACTTTTTGACTGTAGAATGGTGACATGGCATGGTTTACCTCATTTCAAAATACAAAAGCCTCTAGCTAAAAAGAGTTTGCTCTTATGGTATCTACCTATCTTTATCCCGGTGACAAATCTACAGTCTTTCAACTAGGAGGTGTCCATAACTTGATTTGAGAGCAAGTCCACTGTTAAGAGCATGGCTACTTTCTAGAGAAGCATAAGAACAATTTATATCAACAACAACAGCACCCTTGTAGACATTTTTAAAACATTTAAATGTGGCATTACTTAATTTTAAAGCTTAATATTAGGAGAAATGTCATCTCTAATCCTATGTGTGATGCTGTGAGCAGGCTAGTAAAGGCCTGTCCGGACCATCACTTGGCTAGTGAAGGCCTGTCTTCTAGTGGCATTGACTCTCATTAAGAGAAGGACAGCATTTCTCCCATGTAATAAAGTCTCACTCTTGCAAACCAAGTGTGTATTTACGTTTTTCTCTCTCCTGGCTTATGCAGGTCATGTGGTAGGGAAAGGAAATACTCAGAAGAAGGGAGCTTATCTGGAATTTCTTGGCCAGCAGAGTGAACAAGGTCATAATTCTATAAAGCGAAATAGTCACAGCACAAGCTGCATAGTTATTTAATTATGAATCCAGGTGTCCTGGAGGGCGTTTGGTTTTCAGGCAGGTTAGAAGTGTTCTGTTCAATGCAGCATGTTAAAACTCGGGTTACATTAACAATATTTACTGATAAGTGCCCATTTATATTTCCTGTTTTGCAATGTATGTCCTCTTTACATGTAGTGACTATGATATTATGATGAAAGATACTATGCTTATCTTTTTCAAAACAAAAGTGAGTAGAATGATATGTAAATCATTCAGCTCACCATCCCTTTGGGTTCATGAAATGAGTCCATAACCAAAGCATCTCTCCCACCCTGGTCCTTGTGCAGGCAAAGTACATCAGAGAAATAAACACCTTCTCAAGGAACTCCTCACCGACTCAAATCCCTACTGTGATAGAATTGCACTGTGGTGTTAAATGACATCATCCCTCTTGAGTTAGGTGTAAATATATCCAGATGAGAAAAAGGTGATTATTCAGTATTCAGGCAGAATCGATGTAAAGCTCAGATTGACTACCTGCTCGTGTTCATCAGACAGTTTCTTGTGCTTTGCTTGCTTTGGCAGTATATTTATTTTTGCCCTCATGCATTCCTTCATTTATTTGTTCCCATTATTAAATACTTAATATGTAATCACAGGGTACAAAACAGCAGTCAGGGAACCTTCAAGTCATCAGATAATCCCACAGTATTTTGTTTCATTGTGAGCCCAATTTTAGTTGTGGCTAAGTTACTTTAATTTTAAGATCTGGTCTATCTTAATTCCTTTGAGGAATATTACGTTGTTCTTCCTTTGTGAAACTGCCAGTTAGCATGGCTGTTTATTATCATACCAGTGACTCATTGCTTTCTTAAAGTGATTTCACTCATAGATAGCAGTCCCTGTGAACACACTGTTACTCAAGATTATTGAAATCCTTTGTAGCATTATGAGCTGCTTGACTGTGAGATTGTTATCATCTAAAATACATTTGTTTTGAAGTTAGGAGCACCAGTGGAGGTATGTTGTTCTTTTGGAAAGAAAGGAAAAGTACAAGAAACGGCTACAGTGCAGTCCAGCAGCACCAGCCATAAAGAATGTCCCGAAGGTAGCAAACCAGCCTCTCACCCCGATCTGGAATGGGTCACTTAAAGTGGTGCTCACATGTCTCCATGGGAAATTAGTGACTAAGAATATTATCTCTTCGGCTTTGAAGGTTCAGATGAGGTATAGAGAGCCAATATAAATAAAAAGGGATGATTAGGTAGAAAGAGCCAAGAATCATGGCTGTAGACACAGTGGCATGTGGGCCAGTAAGAAACAGGAAGTGGTGACTGGAAAGTCGCATTGTGTTTCCTTTTGTAAGAAAGGAAAAGAAACTAGCCGACTAGAGAGGGATGTTGGAAGACCAATGTTGTATGTGAAAGGGCCCAGGGGATCCCATCTATAAAGTTCTAAAAAATTGTAAGGTGTTTTTTTTGGGGGGGGATCTGTTTTGTGTTTATTTACAGTAAATTCAGAAATAAAGTGCCTACCAAAAATATAGCAGAGGTAACAAATTGAGATCAGTCATAATTTTCTCAGATTCATGGGACAAGCTCCAAAGTTTAAACTAAAAGGAGGGTCAGTGGTAACCGGCACCTTTTGGAAAGGTTCTTGTGTATTTCTGGCAAAATTTTCTGAGGGAAAATGAACATTTACATTCTCTGAAGTAGGTCATCTAGTTAAAAATTATTGGAATAAAATGGAAATGTTAGAAGAAGCTTTAGAAGCTCCTGGAATAAAAATTATTTTGCACCAGGGCTCCTGGGTGGCTCAGTCAGTTAAGCATCCGACTCTTGCTTTCGGCTCAGGTCATGATCTTAGGGTCATAGGAGCAAGCTCTGCATCCAGCTCCATGCTCAGTGGGGAGTCTGCTGGAGAGTCTGTCTTTCTTCCTCTCCCCCCACTCACTTGCTCTCTCTCTAAAATAAATAAACCTTTAAAAAATTTATTTTGTACCCCCCCAAAAAAACAAAAAATAAAAAATGAGTTCCTTTGTGCCTTGAGTCTATTCATAATCCTTACACTAGAGACTCAATGTGCAATTTTTAAGTTGGAGAATATCGATTTTGCTGTGTGTTGTGTCTTGTTGTTTTGCCATTTTAAATAATAGGCCATAATAGTAGCAGCATTAACCAGCCTTCTGCAGTAGCAAATACTCCTCTGAAATGTAAATAGTAAACAGACACTGCCCTTTGTGTTTCAGAGTCTGAGTGAACAACTTGCACATAGATCAAACAAGCATTAGTACTGTATTGTTTGGAAATGCTTTCTTCTCAGTGTGTTTTAATTCATTCAGAAAAATAACATTTCACCAAGTGGCTGAGTGGAGACTTTTAAATGGAAGAGTTGTGAGAAGAGTAAATTGTAGAAAGTGGTCAGATTTGAATCCTGTATTTCAGCAGCTGACATGAAATCAAGTTGGAGTAAATCTTGTTTGCTTTAGCTATCGGGAGAGAGGTTTGCCGAAGTTGATTTCGAATGTATGTATGTGTGTATGAATGAAGAAAACTCACCCGCATTTCCTGTTAGATTTGTAGCTGTGTTTACTAGTGGTTGAGCTGGTGAAGTTTACATATGAGAAAGATTTAGAAAAAGAATGAAGTGTCAGCTCTTTTACAAAATGTAATTTTACCTTTTGAATAAACTGATACTCAGTTACTCAGTTTATTCTGTAGTGGTTGTTTATTTGCCTCCTGTGTACAGTCCAGATAGTTAGGAATAAGATAATTCTTCATATGTGAAGCCATGAATTCTCTTTTAATAAAAAGTAACTTTTTTGGTCAGTTTTCTTGACTAATGTGTTAATTTTCTATCTCTATGCCATAGATTAACGATATTGTAGGTGAAACAGTTATAGTAATGTATTTCTGATAACTAGATGCAAACTTACACCGCCTTAAACAAGATGAGTATATTTTTATAATTTGTGTAGCAGCTTATAAGTAAGGACCTAAACCTGAAACGTAAATTTTTTTATGCAGAATAAGCAGGAGACTCTCACTGCTAATATAAGTAAACTGAGCCTGCAGAGTTGGACCTCTGAGGCCACCAAAGACAATGTTAATACATTGTTGATAAAATGGTATCTTCATGTCTAAGGTAAAAAGGAAAGCAGGATGATTGTATCAATTTTTCTTTATAAATTGCCTTATAGTAAATATGAAATGGGAATGAGTTCAGTTAAACATTTATTGAGAAAATACTACATATCTACCTTTTAATTTTATTAATACTATTTTGTATTCTGCAATACATTTTGCATACTAGAGCGATTTGACCTTCAGTGTTGTTGACCCAGTAACATAGCAGAGTCTTTGCCTGTAGACACGAGTATATGCTAAATTCTGAACAGCCACAGGACATCTGTCTCACTAGACATGCCTTCCAACAAGCAGACTGCTAATGGATTTGAACCACAGGAGGGTTTTTTTTTTTCCCTTGTGTAAATATTCCAGTCAGTTTTACAGAGACTTGTAATATCTGTTGAATAAATGTTGATTTAAGAAGAGGAAAAGGAGCTAGCTACTCTACTCTTAAACATGGGTCATAGCTGTTAGTTACTGCTCCGCTGGTTCTCTCTTTACCTGACAGCTCTTAATGATTCCAGTCCAAGATTTGTCTCAGAGAAAAGTCTCTGAGTCACCTACTTTGGAATTGGAGCCCAGTGAAATGATCGGCACCAACTCTTTTTATTGCGTCTTTCTCTAACCAAATCTCTGGGCATTCTTGTAGCTTGACAGGAAATTGTGTGGCCTGCTACCTCCACTAGAGAGAGAGTTCAGCTTTGTAGCAAACCGAATTGAGAAGGTCTGTTGTTCATCTGAGGCATATGCCACTGGAAATAGCACTTCCTTCTTGTATTAGGCAATAATCACTTGCAATTAAGTGGGTCATCATCTTCTTGAGTACAGGTTTTCCCCAGAGTTTAAGAGAAAGGAAGTAATATACATAGAGAGAGAGAAAGGAAGTATATATATTTTGAGTGTACATGGTATTCCCTTGTTAGGCATGTTAGATCCTAATAAACCTTGCTTTTAGATTTGCTAAAAAATATTGTAGAGAGAACCAGTGTCTTAGCCTTTTGGAAGCTATTCTCTTTCTTTCTCCTATCTTCCTTTCCAAAAAGTAAAAAACAAACTCTTTCTGTTAGGAGTTAGATGATCAGAGCCAGGGTCCCCAACAAGAAAGTATGGAGTCAGAACAGCTAAGATAAAACAGCACTAACATCCTGTTTTGCAGCTTAGACAGGACCAGACCGACATTCTGCTTTGCAGCCTTTGCAGAAATGACTTCTGCAAAACGTCCTAAAATAAGACAGTTAACTACAAAAGCATTTGTCAATATCACAGGCAAGGGACAGGTAAGACCTAAGCCCCCAGATGTCAGCAAAAAAAAAAGACCATCAACATGTGGACATTAACCTAATAGATATGTGACCAAAGCTCTGATTGGCACAACTCAGCACACCCTGATTGCTTAAGAAAGTTCCGCAAAAGAGCTCAATAAAAACCCCTAAACTTACAAACTCTGAGGGCAACCCACTCGGGCCCCCCTCCCTCTCTGGGAACTTTATTCTCTTCCTCAATAAACTTTGCTGCCCACCATTCTTCATCTGGTCCACTGTCCATTCTTCGAAGCAGCGTGACCAAGAACTGGGGCACTAAGGGGACACAAATCCTGTAACATTTGGATCTCCAGATGCTGGGTTAATGCAATTTTTGCATTTGTTGAAAATTTGAGACTTCCGTAAAAAGCATGTCTCGTGTTGAACTGAACAATAAAACATCAAACAAATGGTTCTTCTAAGTGGCTGAAACTTTTTACTCCTCTCTAAATGTATTGGCTTTTGAGAACTGGAGTTTTCTCCCTAAGTTTCTTATCTTCTACACAAATGATATTGATAATTGTTCTTATGCAATGTCTGTGTTGTGTGTGTTTTTAATCTCTATTTAGGTTGACCTGACAGTTCAAGAAAAGGAGAAATATCTTAATGTGTCTCGCTGGTTTTGTCACATTCAGCATTATCCAGGGATCAGGCAACATCTGTCCATTGTTGTCTTCATCAAGAACAGACTATATACTAATTCCCACTAGAAGCTATCCATGACATACAGAAGCATGATCACAAATATTTTAAATGGAAAGTATATTCTGGACCAGAGAAATAACGTAAATGGCTACACAGTCATTCTTTATTTGCTGAAGTTGGAATAAACTTGTCTGAATGTTTTATTTGTTCTTCAGTTGAAATTTTGCAGCTTTTATGTAAAAATTCAACTGTCAAAACTTGAGATCAAGTTATAAATTAACCTTTTTTTCATAGATGAAATTTATTTTGTAAAACTTGCAAATCAGTGGCTTAATCTTAAGGGAAAAAAAATACTCCTTTCAATGGTGACATAACTTGGCTATTTATCGACCTCCATCTCATATTTTACAATTCATTTCCCCCTTATGGATATTTACAGTAATTTGTTTAATAACTATAATAAACTGTGCCAAGGTTACAGAAAGGGAAGACAGATGGATTTGTTTTCAAATATTTATGTGAGCCAGTAAATGTGGTTGAAAAAAATCTTTTTTGTTTGTTTCTTTCTTTCCTGTAGTCAGTATTCATTGAGGTGAAACTAACTACTGAACTGCCCTGGAGGGAGCTGGAATAAGATACATTCAGTGGAGCTAATGGTTCTTTTGTTGTGTTGGGCTTATTGGAATATGCAGTGGCTAAAAACAAGATGGGAAATTCCTGCTATCCCACTAACTTTAGACTTGACAACTACTAGATTTTCCTAAACTAAAAGCCAACTCAAGGCTGCTGCTGAAGCTCTCTAAAGAACAAGGACACGTGTTAATAACAAATCTATACATTTTATAACTTAATGGCTGAGTAAATAATTATTGAGAGCTAAAGAACTTTTATTTCCAAATAATAAGAAAAATAGAGCCTTTTAGGGGCACCTAGGTGGCACAGTCAGTTAAGCATCTGCCTTCAGCTCAGGTCATGGTCCCGGAGTCTTGGGATGGAGCCCCATGTCAGGGTCCCTGACCAGCGGGGTTCTGCAGGCTCCCTCGCCCTTTGCCCCTCCCCCTAGCTCATGCTGTCTCATATTCTCTGACCCTCTCACACAGTCTCTCTCTCAAATAAAATCTTTTTAAAAAATCGAGACTTTGAGCGCTTTACTTTTTCATACTACTATTTTGGTGCTGGTGCTGGATCTCAGTTGTGTACAATTCAAAGGTCAAGTGAGAAAAGCAGAGATTTGGGAAGTGTACAGCCCTCCGGTTGAGTTCCGCTTTTATCACTTACTAGCTATATGACCTTGAGCAAATCAGTTAACCATGTTTCCTTAATCTGTAAAAATAAAGCTAACTCTTAAATTACGAGGATTAAATGAGATAATACATATGGAAAAAGCCTAGCATAGAGCCCATGTCTATCAGTAAAGTTTCCTCTGTAAGAGCCGCTCCACCCCATTTTTGTCCTTCATGTTACTAAGTCAGATTTTAGAAGCTAACTGTATGTGATTATTTTGTAATAGGACAATTTTTGTAGGATTAGATCTCACATTTCATTGCCCTTGGAAGCATCTTTTTTTAATTATATAACACAGTCTTTAAATTAGAAACTAGAAACTTGTATTTGCACACTGAGACTAGAAGAGTCCAGTCTTGGGAGTTAGTATGTGTGTCACAGAGGCAGACCCAGTCTGTGACTTTTCTTGCAAACCACTGCCCCAGCAAGGTCTGCTACAAACATTCCATGTCCTATTCCACTGCTTTAAATTCCTCCTTCCCCTAACACTTCTCCCTCTGCCCCAGGACTGCTGGGGGAAATAAGCACGACGGGCAGGACAGGCAGGATAGAGGAGAGATGGGCTACCCAGCTTTTCCTTTCCAGCCGTTTCTTCCTTTCCCTTCAGGTTAGGTCAGCTATGAGGAAAGGGTAGGATATGACATCTGCTAGTCAATTCTTTATGCAAGTGCGCAGCATTGCTTCCACACGTATTGCCCAGTGCTATTATGTGCCAGGACTGCCTGTCACTAACTTGGATCTTAGAGGATGAAGGTGTGGCAGAAATGTAAAGACCTGGCTCCTGTAAGCAAAGGTTAGGTAATGTTCTCAGCACCTAAAACAGAAACAATTCATTTCCTTGTAGAAATGTTGCCGTGCATCATGGGTCGTTTCTGTCAGGTATTTCTATGCCAGAAATGTCCTTCCTTTCTCACTTGACACTCTTCACTATTGAACTATGTCATGTCCTCCTAAAAGTCAGGTCTTTCCTGACCAACCCATCTCCTACCCTTGAGCTTGGCACTTGACATCATTGTACTATTAGGATTATTTGTCTCTTCTACCAGGCTGTTAATTCCTTGAGCACAGAGACTCTTCCCTTACATATTCAGCCCTCAAAACAATGACTGGCATGCAACAACAGATGCTCAGCATGTTTGTTGAAAGAATAGAGTATTCTTTTAAGTCCATTTTGCAATGACCAAGGAAAGTATAAGGGTGAATTGCAATTAGGTACAGCTGTCAAGTGGCAGAAAAACCAAGTAACATTAAAGTGGTTTGTTTTCCTCTCATATGAAAGAAGACAGTCCACAATTGGTATGAGGCGTCCAGCTCCCATCTTTCTGCTTCTCCATACTGAATGAGTCGTTTTTCTTTCTCAAGTTCAATTTAAAGCCCAAAACAGCTACCAGAGCCCCAGACATCAGCTCCGTGATCAAGATGCAGAGGAGGAAGAGAGGAAGGGCAAAAAGACTTCTCCCAACTGAGAAGTCATCCAGAATAAAATTGGAGCTCTGTCAATGATGAAGAAGGAAAAATGGGATACTAGGTAGTCAGCTAGGTGTCTCTCACAGTAAGTAGTATTTAAATGGGAAAATATCTTCTGAATGCCAAATAATTTGTAAAAGAATTTTTATTAGTAAATTGTTGACACTCCATGGATCGTCAATTTGTAAAGAATTAGAATACAGTAAATACTTTTCACTGACCACAATTTCCATGATTCAGAAGCTGTTTCAGAATTCTGCAATACTCATGAGCTACCAGGAGGATCTGTTGTGCTTTTTTTTTTAAGATTTTATCCATTTGACATAGAGTGACAGCGAGAGAGGGAACACAAGCCGGGGGAGTGGGAGAGGGAGAAGCAGGCTTCCCACTGAGCAGGGAGCCCGACACGGGGCTCAATCCCAGGACCCTGGGATCATGACCTGAGCCGAAGGCAGACGCTTAACGACTCAGCCACCCAGGCGCCCCATGCTTTTAATAACAACAATACGTAAGTAACATTTATTGAGCATTTAGTATGTATCAGGCAGCATTCTAAGTATTGTGAGGGAATTCACTCCTTTAATTATGACCCTTTTTTTGCAACTAATGAAACTGAGGTACATATTGGTTAAGGAACTTGGGCAAGATCACACAATCATTATCAAGGAGCTGGGATTCAGACAAAAGTTTGACTCAAACTTAACCTGTAGACTACCTGTGTACCAGTAAGGTTCTGCTTAAATCAGTTTGAGAAAGTAGTTATTACCAACCTCAGGAAAAAAGCTGCCCTAAGCATTGGATAAAACAAATGAGTACATAACTTCAAGAATAAATGACTTACACACTTTAAATGACTAAACTGTGATATGTGAATTACAGCTAGGTAAAGCATTTTTTTTTTAAGCAGTGGAATCCATCAGCCTCACCATATATTAGGAGACCTTGAAGAGTTCAGTGTACATGAAATCCCTCTTATGAAATAGAGATAAAAATTTCTGATCTCATGATTTAATTTGCAATGAGAACATATAAAAATTACTTAGTGCGATGCGTAGCACACAAAAAGTGATCAGTACTGCTATGGAAGATCGTAAAATCATAACCCACAATTTTATAAACTCAAATCCTTAAACTAATTCTTAAGTCCCCTTTTGCTGTCCCTGAGGCACCTGTGCAGCATGAGCCCATCTGAGATAACACAGTTGGGCAGAACATCTCATGATTTTGGTAAAACATGAATTTGTCTTATGACTTACCAATTTAAAAATCTCTGGTCCTCACATCTTTCAAGCTGTTCAGAAAAAGGGACTGTTCTATTCATTGTTTTGTTTTCTAAAAGAACAGTGAGATGACTCTAAAAAAAAGTGGGGCAATCTTTGTGCATGCTATTTCTTCTGAAAAGTGAATGCACCTTTATAACCATCTTCTTTCTGTGATTCTCAGAAGTCTGCATCACTGATCATTCAATAATCCCTCAAATATTTATTTAGAACCTACTATGTATCAGAAACTGCTTGTCCCTGAGGATGACAATGACATTGCTCACATTTACAATCTAATGGTCTGTGACCAAATTTCTGAAACAGCACGTAAAGTTTCTTTGGGAGGCTGCTGCCACTCAGCATTGCTTGAAAGTAAGTAAAAACAATCAGATACCATTTACTGAATGCCTGCTCTGTTGCAGGCTCTGTACCAGGCACTACACATTCAAATTATCTCACATTAATTGAGGAGTTAGGATGAGGGCATAGACCAGCCCACATGCTAACCAACACCTCAGTTAAACCATGGCTGGAGTGAATGGGAATTGGGCAATTTCAGAGGCAGGGGACATAATCTGTCACCATATTATACACGGGTTGATTTGACTGCCCTGAGTAGATACATGGCCCTGTCTCCTTATTTCACATGCAACTTTCAAGAACAGATAAAAAATTTCAAATAGAGAAGGAACATTCATCAGTCCAGATTCCATGAAATTTTCATTCATTGAAATGAACACTAGTTTTAAAACAAAGCGGAATAACAGGGCTGGAGCCAATATCAAAAGGTCATTTGCCTTTAAAGATTTTTTTTTTATGCCTTTAGACACAGTTATTATATCCAAAGCATAAGATGTCATGAAGTATTTTATGAAGTTGTATGGTTTTAAATCTCAAGTAGCTGCTGTCGCAATATGGTAAAAAAAAGTAACATAGCTTCGAGAATGACATAATCACCTGGCTTTCTGGTTGAAACGCCACTCCCTCCCCATCCAGACTCAGCAATAAGATTATTGAACTGAGGTTTTATTTTTTTTATTTTTTTATGCAGCCATCTTTATTATAATTCATAAATACATTATAAACAGACCTGAATTTTTTTTAAAGATTTTATTTACGTATTTGACAGAGAGAGACAGAGCGAGAGAGGGAACACAAGCAGGGGGAGTGGGAGACGGAGAAGCAGGCTTCCCGCAGAGCAGGGAGCCCGACACGGGGCTCGATCCCAGGACCGTGGGATCATGACCTGAGCCGAAGGCAGATGCTTAACAACTGAGCCACCCAGGCCTGGATCTTTAATAAGACACTTAGGATCTGATAGGCTTCTGTTTTCCATTCAGTTATGTAGTTAGAAAACCCAGTTTCCTTGAGAACAGTAGAAAAGGCCAAGTAGCATCTCAGCTTCCTGAAGTTTTCTCCTCACAGGCATTCGGGAATCTTTGGGCTTTGTGGGTCAAAGACCAGACTGTTAAGACATGCCTATATTCAGTGCTGTCCGCATTCCTTAAATTTCAATGGGCACCTGTCCTATGG